CTATCGCAACGCGAAAATGACTATCGCAACGAGAGAATCGCAATGCGATTTTCATTTCGCATTGCGATTCTTTCGTTGCGATAGTAAAATTCGCATTACGATAGTCATTTTCGCATTGCGATAGTCATTTTCGCGTTGCGATTTTGTTGTTGCGATTTTCATTTCGCATTGCGATTCTGTCGTTACGATAGTCATTTTCGCGTTGCGATAGTCATTTTCGCATTGCTATAGTAAACTAATTCTTCTTCTGCAAATTGAAACTTGAATGGATTGCATTACTTCAACCAAAAGACAACCAAAAATAAATACTAACTTCACAGGGTTAAAAAATAAACAGTTAAACAGTATTGGTAGCAACCGAATGAATTTACTAAGCAATCTAAGTGAAATTACGAGTAAATTTATCATCAAGTTAAATATGAAAAATATTAAACTTACCTCGTTGCGTAGAGTATGAACCTCGTTCTGCAACGATACTACAATCTCACGTAGAGCTGCTACCTCACCACGTAAAGTAGACACCTCAACACGCCATGCACCATTGTCATCGCGTAAAGTACCGACCTCCTCACGCAAGGCATTGACCTCATTACGTAACTCCCCTAACTCATCCCGTGGAGGTGGAGGTAGAGAACAGGGAGATAAACGTCGTGGTATCTTTTCCGGTCGCCTATCATGAGGTGATGGTGGAGAAAAGGCTCGATGGTGTGACATAATAGGTGATGACTCTCGTTGTGGAGATGTATATTTGGGTCGATCAGGTGATGGCTCTGGGTGAGGTGATGGCTCTCGAAGTGTTGGCTGCTCATCATCCGTGCTATCAAAAAAATGCTTACTAGCTTGCCACCAATCAGTGGCAAGCTCAGCTTCTGTGGGTGTCAGCCTCTGTAATGAAGTGTTGGCCTCCTAACAATATAAAAGCTCAAACAAAGTTAAACGTTTACTAGTAATAACTTGTTTATAAACATATGGTAGTATTTGTGTTAACTTATATTATTTATTGTAGTATACGGTAGTAAATCTTCCCATTGCTGCAAGGACCGTTTCCACTTCCAGTAAATAGCCCTAGGAATATCATTAGAAGTTTTTAATGCATATGTCTGCATGGCGGGAAATGCCTCAAATATCCAAATCTAAAAACAATATAATAACAAACATTAGTAATTGTTAAAGAATTAATTATAATTTTGGAAACATTATATAAAAATTATTACCTTAAAGGCCCAAATAAAGCCTGACAAAGTGTATTTGGAACCATCGCCACGCAAACTTTTTCAATCATCAAAGGCAGACGACAACTTATTCCATGTAGCTTTCCATAGATATGATCCCCACGGAAACAGGTTCCATGCATTTAGGTCCTCTAACAATTTAATTAGATCATTAAGAATAGGTTGTTAGGCCTCTTTGCCTAAAAAGCCGGCTTGCAAAAGTATTAGAAGGCATACTCGGACAACATCGACGTCATCCATCCGAGTAAAACCATCTTTCTTATTCAATAATCTCGTCAAGTCTTCCACGTGTAAATTCGGCTTCTCCGTTGACAGCTCAGGAAAAACCCGGGAAAACCATGATAGTCGGGTAATATGTCTAGTATACCGATCTACATCATCGTGTCCGAAGCGTAGACCGATGATTAAGCAAACTCCTCCCGCCCAAAACACGTATACGCCGGTGGAAAATCAAACCATATCTCTTCATCACGACGTTGTATAGTCTCTGGTAGATCGCTAGTCATGGTTTGAAGAAACAGATGGGTCAACATAGCATCTCCACCCGGATGTTGTACTTTCAGCCATGGCCCGAAGCAAGTATCCTCAAATATTTTTCTTTGTGCAGGTGAAAGCTTCGACGCAATTGTTTTGGCCAGGCTTACTTTATTTCTTAAGGTCAATTGAGCCGAATAAAAGTTCTGCAAAAACAATAAACATACCAAGTTAGATATACCAAAAACTACACTATGAAGATATAACAAGAACAATAAACATAAAGAGTAGTAGTTTATTCTTCAAACTTAAATTTGCAACACTGTGAATTTAGTATTTGTCTTTGTTTTTTGGTTGAAGTAATGCAATTCATTCAAGTTTCAATTTGCAGAAGAAGAATAGTTTCTGAAACTTAAAATCGCAACACGAAAATGAAAACCGCAACACGAAAATGATTATCGCAACGCGAATTTGACTATCGCAACGCAAGAATCGCAATGCGAAATGAAAATCGTAACACGAAAATGACTATCGCAACGTGAATTTGACTATCGCAACGCGAAATGAAAATCGCAACGACAGAATCGCATTGCGATAGTCATTCTCGGTTTCAAATACTAAAATTGAAAGAAACTTGAATGAATTGCATTACTTCAACCAAAAGACAAAACAAAGACAAATACTAACTTCACATGGTTAAAGACTAAACAGTTTAGCAGTATTGGCAGCAATCGAATGAATTTAATAAGCAATCTAAGTGAAATGGTTAATCTATTATTGAAAACACCAGTAAACTTATCATCAATTTCAATATGAAAAACCTAATAATAATGCAAAAATTTCAAAATAAAAATAATTAAAAAAACTAACCCTCTGTGGTTGATTTGGTTGATTTTTCATTTCTGACCGTGAATGATTTCGCCGGAGATGGAGACTGATATCGTCGGAGATGGGGATTGATTTCGTCGGAGATGGGGATGGATGTCGCCTTAGAGAGTGAGAGATGGAGATGAGACTGAGTTGTGATTTAGGGTTTTAGGTTATGAGTTGCGATTACAGGATATACTGTGGACGGTTTAGTGTTCGATATATTAATATATTCGTGTTTGGAATTTGAAAAAAATACGCGTTGCGATACGAATGGCGCTATGTAAATCGCATTGCGATAGTCAGATTCACGTTGCGATTTACATATTCGCATTGCGATTTACGTATTCGCATTGCGATTTACGTATTCGTATTGTGATTTAGGAAAATCGCAACGCGAATTTGGAAAATCGCAATGCGATAGTCAGAATCGCGTTGTAAATCTGGAAACTGATTTGCGATACTGGAGATCGCGTTACGAATTATCGATCGCATTGCGATTTAGTTGGTCATTTTGGCAAATCCAAAAAAGTTGGTTAAAATCGTATATTATAAGGCATTTTTGGTCACTGAGGTTATTTTCTCTAATAAATATGTAATTCTATGTTTATTATTTTTAATTTAATAACAATATATACCGTAACATAAAAATAAGTCATTAGACGCTTATAATTACTAAATTAATATATTAAAACTCACTCAAAAAATAATCCTAAATTAATATTTTCCACAGTGAAGTAAATATAAATACTTATATATATGTACTAATACCTACCGATAACCAAATTTTACCGGTTATCAAATTTTTTAATAGTCCTTTATGTTTTCAATCTACAAAATTATGAGTCTATCAACATTTCAGATAGTGCTTTACCGAATTTATTAATTATCTTATTAAATTTTTGGTCATGTCGTATATTAGTTCGTATTTGTACAAACCCCAAATCTCCATGGCAGCACCTTTCACATTTTTTCTTAGCGGATAGGAGAGGGTCAAATCCAAGTTTGGGTCCTTAAACTTTTACAAATTATGGAAACAACCCTAAAATCTTCAAAAACTCACAATTTGGTCTTCAAAATATATTGATTAAACATTTAAAATTAAGCTTAAAAACTAGGGTGTGACAATTATTATTCTCTCGTCCTTTGTCATACACTATTATCTATGAAAGCATATCTGGTTATGAATTATAGGAATCCATCAAACGATTTCAGTTGATAAAAATATATTATTTTTTAAAGATTTGATTAAAACAATTATATCTATATAAAATATATACATCGTTAATGACTAACAATACTATTTATTTTCTATTTAGCTAACACCTTTTTTCTTTTGAATCTGGAATTTTTGTTTATAACACCTGTTAGGAGACTGCCATTATTAAGGTTTTAGTTTCACTTTAGATGCCCTTAATCATTTTTGGACTGCTCTACTCCTATTGAGTCTTCTAGTGGTTGTGATTTATTTATTATTCTCATATTGATTTTAGTGTTTTGGATTATTCTACTTCTATTGGTTCATTTTAAGATATAAACTTTTAATTTTTTCAACATCATATTTAAATTTAATTTTTATTTCATTTTAGTACATGTCATAAAAAATTTTAGTTGTTATTTCATTTTAGTACTCGTTCAAAGTTTAATGTTAAGTTCTGAAAAGAATGAAAGTTTAGGTACTAAAACGGACCAAACGAAAGTTTAGATATTAAAACGGACTAAAGTGATGGTTTAAATACTAAAAGCGTTAAGTTTTTAACTGTGAGTACTAAAATGAAATGAAAACTAAATATTAAATATGATTTTAAAAAAATAAAAGTTTAAGTATTAAAATAGACAAAAACTTATAACTTAAATACTAAATGCGTAGTTTACCCTATTTATTATCACTCTGGAACTAATTCTAAAAATGGATAGTAAATGAACTTTTTAATAGAAATTGCCCTATTCCAAAAATAGTATTGCTTGAACTAGGACTGTAAATGGGACGAGACATATCGTGAGCTATTAGAGATCGATTCGGTCAAAGTTTGATAAATACTCGGATCGAATGAACTTGACTCGAGCTCAAGCTCGACTCGAATTCTTAACGAGCCGAAACGAACTGCTTGATACTCGACTCGAAAAACTCGTGATAGCTCGAAAATATAATATATTAAGATTTTATTTTAAAAAATAAATTATTAATAATATTAACATTTGTGTTGATTTTTTAAAAAAATACAGTAAGACTTTTATGTATTTAAGATTCATGTTCAAGTTTGAGTTTGAAGCTTTAATCTAGTTAAATTTAATATTTTTTTTCCATTTCGAACCTTTTCGAGTTACTCACGAACTTTAATTCAAGATTTCGAATTCGAGTCGAGCTGAAAAATTTTCGAGTCGAGTCAACTCGTTTATACCCCTAGGTTGAACCCTTGGGTCTTGCCATTCGAGAAAGCAATGCTTTATCAATGGGGATTTACAGGTCTCTGCAAACCATAATTACCAAAAACCCTACCAAAGCCCGAACCTTTTTGACTGCCGCACCGGCGAATTCAAGTACAACAACTTACGTAATTCCACCTCTCTTCCACAGCCGAGTCTCGCCGTTTTCTCCGTCGCTTTCTAAATTGATCGCTCCCTTCAATGGCCCTCTCTTCCTCTCTTCCCCGCCATGGAAGCTCTCTCAATCGGCCACTCCGTTTTGGGGGAACGCCACCGTTTTGAGAAAAGTCCAAGCGTTGAATCTTGACTTGATTAGAGGCGGCGGAGCTAAATTTCCGGTCAAGCTACGATTTGGGTCGGTCTTATCAGACCCTAGTGTATTGGATCGGGTGGAAAACGAGAAACGAGGTGTTAAGGAAAGGGGAGCTGTGGTTGAGAGTTTTGTGAATTTGCCTAATTTAATTTCAATGAGTCGATTGCTTTCTGGCCCTTTGCTTGGATGGTAAGTTTTAAAATCCATCTTCGCTTTCGTTTTTGATTAATTAGTTTTGAAGATATTAGTTCAATGAATTAATTGTAGGGTGATTGTGAATGAAATGTACGATCTTGCATTTGTGGGATTAGCCATCTCTGGTGCAACTGATTGGGTATGGATTCTCTGGCTTTTTCATGTATCAATCGAAAATAAGTAATTCTCTACTTTTTTGTAAAAAAATAATGATTTTTTTAAAATCATTTCTACTGTTTTTACCCCTAGTTGGATGGGTATGTAGCTAGAAAGATGAAGATCAATTCAGTAGTGGGTTCTTATCTTGATCCTCTAGCTGACAAGGTAAATAACTGATGCCACTTTACCTCTTTATAGGTTCTTGTGACTTTGCTTGTGAGTTTCATTTTACAAGTGGTTTATCTTTGATCTTGTTGGTATAGGTTCTTATTGGATGTGTTGCTTTGTCGATGGTACACAACAATTTGTTGCACCGTAAGTTTAACCCGCAGTTGTTTAGATCATCTTCAATTCTCTGGTTATCGGTGGTAGTTGAGATATTGAGGACTTTACATGTTTTAATCGATACTTTCAGACACTCCTTACATTCATAAACAATTGTGCCATCTTGCAAATGCAGGAGCTTTCCTCTGTCGAATGCTGAAATTTTTTCGTAGCGGACTAAATATTTAAGATTTTGTACTACTTTCCCGTAGCGTCACCACTACTGTGTCACAAGGATAACTTGGAATTATCATACTGGAGGCTTATAGTTATAGGTTATATCAGCAGTTTTTTTCTAGTACTTCCTTAATCTCGATTCCTGTTTCACCTACCTTTAGTACAGGGGATTGCGGGTTTTGAGAGTTGTAGTTATCTGTGAATGTTATTTGATATTTAAATTTTTTCACGCCTAAAAGGTACTATATTATCTGCAAACGTTTGGTGATGCCTATCTTATTAGTTTTCTTTGCTGTAAAGCTGGACTTGTCGGGCTTGTTGTCTTGCGAGATGTTTCTCTCATTGGTGGTGCAATGTACCAAAGAGCTGGTAGCTTGGGTTGGCAGGTGAAGGGCTTAACTTGCACTTTACTAGCGCATGCTTTTGTTCCAATTCTTTAATGGCTTGGCTAACTTCGGTAATCGTTGATCTAAATCTTGCCTTTCATTGTTGGATCATCTTTGATTCAGTGGAAAAGTTGGCTTGATTTTGTCAATCTCGATGGGACTAGTCCACAGAAGGTTGAGCCTCTCTTTATAAGCAAAGTAAGTATCATCTTTTCTTTCCCCGATTGGGTGGAATACGGATTTAGCAATGTATTCTGCAGCACTTTGGCATTTTAACATTACAAAAGACGGTGACAACGAATAAAATATAATGGCAAGTCATGGACAATCATAAAACCATCTATTGAATGCAGAAAACCCTGAACTCGGCTTGTGAAAACAGTTAATGCTTCCATATCTGAAAAAACTTTGAATTTTCACAGGTTAACACAGTTTTCCAGCTGATTTTAGTTGCCTCGGCTCTCCTTCAACCCGAGTTTGGGACACCGGAAACTCAATCGTGCATCACATACTTAAGGTAAACTAACCGACCATTTGCTGATTATATCATAAATAAATCACAGGTCGCAAGAGCTTATATTTCATGACATGTCTACAGTTGGTTAGTGGCTGCAACAACAGTAGGTTCTACCTGTGCATACGGAGCGCAACACATGAGAAAGGGACCAGGTTCGATGACGAGAAAACCTTAGGTTGAATTCTTTGTTCAACACGAAGACAATCAATGAGTTCCTTCGCTTTCAGAAGCAGCCAACGTGTGAGCATATAGAGTCATAGATGGGAAGAAAGGAATAGTTCATGAGCCAAGGGAACTTATTGGATGTCTGTAAATAGCCGGCACCATCTTGTAATAAAAGCGACAAACAATTACGAACACAGATTCACAAAAGCATTGCTTATAGAGTAACTTGAAAGTGTAACTTGTAATGTTTTGTTACTGATGTTTAAGCTCTGTTCAAGAGATAATGCCAAGTTTTCAATGTGGATGATTTGCATTATGCCTGGATTCAAGAGAGAACTGCCCCTATCTCCTTTGGATTATTATGCATGGATTTAGACATGCTACAACACCCCTAATATTAGATTATCTTTAAGTTAAAACATGCCTTGATTCCCCCCCCCCCCCAGAATATCAATCAATGTGGTACAACATTCACCCAAACCCGGAAAACATAGGTGACAGGCCTAAAACTGTGGAGTGCAACGATCAAATGGTTGCCACTATGGTCACTGGGCTTCAACAAGCAATCCTACTGCTCTAATGCATTGTGGCCATAATTTGTGAGCTAAAACCAGACTTGGTCACTAAAAAGAAGACAGATTTAGGGTTTCCATCTTGGTTCATGTGGTCACTCACCATGAAACTAAGCAAATTTCTATCCAACAAAACAGGAAGAAAGAATCGAGTTCTGCAAGGAAAAAGGGTAAAAACATTGATCTTGTGATTGTTTCAGAAAGAAACAGGAAACTGGGATTTGAAACCTTCTGATCTGGAATCGGACGCGCTACCGTTGCGCCACGGATCCTGTTGTTAGAAAAGCATACATATATCTTAGATATATAAGTAAATCTCAGTTTGTTTCGCAACTCCCTTCATCATCACCAGGTGACAATCAATCTGAGCATCGTATCGAGAGGCAAATTAATAATCTCAACAACCTAGTATGTATGAATTTGGACATGCTACAAAGTTATTGTTATACGTGATGACTGATGAGCATTTATGTTTGTCTTATATCCGCTTTTAATGGTCGGATAGATAGGATATTTGTGAAGACATGGAAGCAAAACCTTCCCAACTGTATTTTTCTGGATCAAAATCTATACCTCGAATGAGATTTAAATTTTTATTTACACAATTAATATTTTCATCTAATTTTGTTACTAATATTTTTATCAAATTTAAAAATAAATCATTAAATTCATTAAAAACTCCATTCGTATTCTTCCACAGACTTAAAAGTATGTTGAAGAACATTGGAAGGAAGAAAAGAGTGTCTCATATTTTATTAAATAGAATACCAATTACATGTGGTAACATCGAACCCTCATATGGGAATATACACCATTACAAAAACCAAATCACCTAAAAATCTTCCATCTTCAAACAAAAAGCCCCTAAGACAATAATCCTATTTCTAAAATAAACCTCAAGATGTAAGATAACAGAAAAATAAAAACCAACAATTACAACCACAAACTAAAAAAACACCTCTGAATACAGCTACCGAACAGTCACGACCCAATTGGAGGAATAAGTTCTAATGAAACATCACAATCTTCAGGGACCCAAGAATTAGGTTTAAAGGAAGGATCAACTACATCCACCAAGATTTTGAATAAATTATCACCGACCTTCAACTCCAACAACTCATCAATTCTCCCTTGAGCCTTAGTGAGTATTTGGAATTTTGCTCGATCAAAAGACGTTGGAAACTCACAACTGTTGTCGATTGCAATTAACTTGCCCCACTGAGTTGCAATGTTTTTGAAGGTATCCCAATTCCAACTGTGAAAATGAATACCTTCGCAAACTACCCACATACGACAACACTCCACCACTAGGCTCTCTGACCAAGTTTTTACTCTGGAAAACCATTCTGCTAGAGTCTCTAACTTATCATCCTTCACGCTTCTCAACGAATCAGAGTCTTCAAAAACCATTAGAACTACATTTCCAACAACTCTCATTAGCGTGAAACCAACTAATCCTTTTGCTTGTATCTGGTTAGCAAGATTACCAATTTTGATAAAGTTCTTGAACCACCCCACAAGACAATTACTCAACACGTGAAGTTTATCATCATCCACAACACTCTCAACTTCACAGTATTTATTCCTCGAACTATCTTCCAACCCAGACTTACTTTGAACAATTATCGAGGACTTTCGCCAGTAAGACTGTCAGGGTTTATATTTAGCCAAAGAGACTCTAATTTTGCTGCCATAAATAAGATTACCATTCATCATTGAAATCGCTTTCCTTGCTTCTTCAATTATAACATAGCGAATAAACCTAAAGCGAACCCCATTCGAGTTTCTTTTTTTTGAGAATGAAGACATCAATAACTTGACCTTGTGTGCCAAATAAATAACCAAGTCTCTTCCAATGGATCTTTTCCGGTAGGTTCTCAATGAATAACGTGACACATCCACTTTTATACCCATTACTACCATTTGTATGAGCTTCCTTCCTCCAATTTTGAAAACCGTTTCTTCTCCTTCTCGCTACTTTAGAAGATTTTTCATTGGAATACCCCTTCGTAGTTATCTCCCTGGTTCCATGGCGATCTACATCAACAGCAGAAAGAGCAGGAGTTGCCTCTACTAACGAAAGCCACTCAATCATATAATTCCCACCTTGCGAAGGAGACATACCACTGTCATTAATCCTAACAGCAGGTGGTTGATAGTCTAATGTTCCTTTAACAGAACATTTTTTCAGAGATTTGGTTGAAAGAGGACGTTCACCCGACCTCTCTGAAACTACTCTTAAATTTTACTGCTTTTGGGGCATAGAAAAGTGCCTGTAGGTAGTGTCGTCGGCCTCAACTGTCCAACCTGCCTCACGGGCCAAGGCGGCCAGTACATCGTTCATATTAGAATGCTCTGAAAGATGGAAATTACCATATTGCCTCATCCGGCCAGCATACGTCTGTTGAAGGCTCACATGTTCCATTTCCGAAGCTTTGTCCTCTCCTTTTCATTCTCCCTCTCACGTTTTTCCTTACCGGAGTAGAAGAAGTTGTTGCTTCGTCAGTCCAGAGGGAGTACAAGTGGGGTTCACAGAGGCTACACCTGCCGCGGTTGTTGCAGCTAACCCACTAGTTTGCCTGTGTTGAGATGGGCGTAGGGGTTCCATGGAGAGATATGGGTAGCTGGAAAGAGGATCTTGGAAAAAACAGAAAGTTTGGAGGATAGGGTAATTTCTTGCTGAACCAGTGCACTGGAAATTAATGGAGAATATAACCGATTCTCGACACTAGGAGAGGTGGGTTTTGGTCGCGAGAAGAAGCTGAGTCTGTTGGTGAGGTGGTGTCGACCACGAGCGGCGGGAAGATGCGAAATCGGCGGTGAACTTCGTGAAGATCTGCGTCGATAGAATGACTCAATTGCAAATCTAAGGCCAAATTTGGAAACCCCCAGACGATCTTCCTTGGAAAAAACAGCTTCAAACTATGGTCGGAGTATGGCGGCGAGCGGCTGACGACGGTCGGCGACAGAGGATAACGGGTGGATGACGGTGGCAAAAATAATTCAAAAAAGCCTTGGCTCTGGGCTCTAGAGAGAAGCGGGACCTTCTCTCACTAGCTTTTAATCTATTTTACCTGTTGTCTTCTATATGAAATATTAATTAAATAAAAATATATAATTTCTTTAAATAAAACAATACCAATACTTCATTTTAAAATTATAATTATAATTAGTTGTTACGATTACATATAATTAACTTATATTGGAAATTAAAATAGATTATTAACATTAATTTTATATTAGTTCATTGTAACCTAACTTTGTGTTGAAATGTTCTGGAAAAGTTCTATTAATAGTAGAAATAGGTCTCGACTTTTAGGGAAGTTGTGCGGCAGTTTTAATATATAGTTAAAAGAAATGTTATCGGTTTTGTTATTATTTAAATAACAAAATTGGTAAAAAATAATCAAAATATTATTATTTTTACCGGTTTTAATTACTGATATAGGTAAACGCGGTAGAAAAAACCTGATTAAAAAAATAATATTTTAGGTAACGCTTTACCGAAAGATTTTTTGTTAAAAATATATGCTTAATGTTTTATCCGTTACACTTTTAGTGTCTTCCGTTTAAAAAAAGCTCAAATGACACATGTCACGTTCAGATTTTTTTAAATATATATTTTAAATAATATTTTATTTTAAAAAAAAGTTAAAAAATATAAATACTACATGTGTCGCTTAACGATTTTTTATAACGGTAAGCACCAGTGTAATGGACGAAATTTTCTATAGGCACTAAAAAATCAATTTAAGATTTAGTTTAGGTACTTAGAAGTGTATTGAACCTCAAAAATAAAGTAAAAGGACTGATAATAGCTGAATGCAAGTCAAAAGTTAAGAGGGTTTAGCTTAAATAATAACATTGTCATTGCTCATGATATTATTGCCTTTAAACGTGCCTTGATTTGTTTCTAATATATCGGTGCTCTGCAACATTCACCTTATAAAGCAAGCAAGTGCACCCTGCTGATCTGCTGCCTTGTGACCATAATGGGAGAGCTACACTCAACTTCATCTCCAAAGATTTGGGTACTTTCCACCGTACAAAGAAACATAATTAGGGTTCACTTATCTTGAAACTAAACAAGTTTCAAGCAACCAAAACAAGAAGATCAGGGTTCTGCAAGGAAGAGGGCTGAACATTAATTTTGTGAGTAAATGTCACGAAAAGCACCCAGTCTAGGTATAAATTACAAAAATATATGGATCCACATAAATGCAGTAGGAACTATATACATTGCTAATGCAAAACCAAGATATATTGTTCATAATTAGCATCCAAGCTTGAACATTTTTCTACGAAATGGCGAACCACACTTTGCAGAGATCAAACCGGCCAAGGTAAGCTCCATTGGTCTAGTCTCGTGGAGGGCGGACTAATTAATCCCTGGGAAGTTCCTCTGCGGGTGGTGGAGCAAATCTCACATTTGCAGGCTGTGCTACCACTACATCCTCATCTGCAAACAGTGCTTTGATGAGAGATGGAGTTTTTAGGGGCCTGCGACCGGTCATTCGGGGATATACATCTTCGAGAAAATAGTATGCATGACCGGCTATCATTCCCTGGATAAATAAAACATTTAATTAACAAAGAAAGGACAAGAAAAATTAAGAGATAAGAACAAGGGGCAGTCTATAGGACCACTGCATAAATTATAAAGGACTCTCGTGGTCCTTATACAGCAGATGAGAGCAAGCAACTTTCCCCCTCAAATCAGGACTCACATCGAGACCTCTCC